AGTTATTTATTATCCAAACAGGGCAATAGGAGAGACTATGTTTTGGGCAATAAGTCAAAATAAACAAAAACGAGAGCAATCTAATCTCTTATAACAACAGAAAAGGGTTTTCTGTGTAAGAAAAGGTCCAAACGTGAATTGAAAAGAGTAGTTAGAGGAATTTAAATTCATGTTTTTATTTTTCTTTCTTATAATTGTTTTTTTTTTAATTTTAAAATTCAGATAACACAAAAGTACCAAAGATCTCCAGGAGATGATAGTGTCCGATAGCTGTCCAGTTTCCTTCTCCAGAGGCAAACACCATTACCAGCTTCTTTTCATCCTTCTAAGTGTATTCTATTCGTAAGCTTATATGTTTAAATGCACATTTGGTAGATTTTCATTTATATAATAAGAACATTATTTATTCTGGATTTGCTCATGTTTGGTCTGTGAGTATTATACTTGAAATTATGTGTTTTCTGGAAAAGGGCAAAAATAATCTATAACTGTATTGGCAAGAGCTCAGTGGGAAATTTTTTTTGTTAAAATTCAGACATGCTATATGGAAACCACTTTGTACATAAATTTCATTAGAAAAAATATATAAAGAAAATAATCACTAGCTCTACCACTTAGAAATTGCACTGTAAATATTTTGGTTGATTGTCTAGGCATATACAGATATAACCAAATATTTTGAGAAGTTGGAATCATACCATGCATATCATTATGGATACCTCTTCTCCCTGAAGAATATATTTACATGTTTTATTTTTAACCACAAATAACAAATATTGAATTAAATGGAAAATATTTTCTTTTATTTATTGAAAAATCATAAATTTGGGAACAATATTAATACTCTTTCTGGATATAAAGCCCCCAAATGGAAAATGGTCCCCACCAGTATTACCATGCAATTCTAGGTTAGTAGTGGGGTATTTCAGTGTCATGGTGGCAGGGACTATGTCTAGAAATTGTTCTAAGTGACATATGTGACATATGGCACACTGTAGTGACAGCCTACCAAACTTCTCTTTCAGAGTCCAGAATGTGTGAAGCGAGACTGGGCATAGGGGAACATGAAAGAGGGGGAAATAGGGAGGACAAACCCCTTTTTCCAAGGGGCTGGGAGAGAAGGGACCACAGGGCACAGGTCATTCAGTTTTCTGCTCCCCGCCCAAGTGGAACTGCTGTAGCCTAAACTGTTATGTCATCCCTGGTAGAGAAGCTTGCAGAGGGCTCCCCAATTCCCAAGACCACAGTGATGAGAGCTCTCACCAAGCCTAGGAACAACACTGTATGTAGATCAAACTATCTCTGAAAGGACACAGGGAGGAACGGGAGGTAAATGCATTATAATAATGAAAATATTGTTCAAATACTGTACTGTTATGAAAATTGGCATATGAGTATAACACGAAGATGGCCATGGCCCAGTTGATGTCCTATGAATTTTCAACTATAGCTACTACATTTTAATTCAATGAATGATTTTTATATCCCTTTGGAGTTTAATATGTTTCAAATAGCTCCCTCCTCACCAGAGCAAGCCCATNCAAAACCACACATGCTATTTTGCACCATACTTGTTTCATTCAGCAGTCTGTTGGCTTTATCTTTTAATGACTGCTAATACTTTTAAATGTTTTTCTACTATTGCTAATGCTAAGACACACTTATGTTTTGGGTCTCCTTATCTCTGAGTATAAATTCCTAGAAGTGGAATTGTGAAGTCAAAGGGTTTAGGATATTTGATAATATTTAGGATTTTGATAAAAATTGCCAACTGACCATCAAAAAGCCAGTCCTGTTCTAATTTTCAACCCCATGAACAGTGCTTAAGAGGGCATACTCTGTGCCTCCTCTCTATAGCTGGGCATTGTTGATTTTATAAACAATGAAGACCAGGTCCTTTGATTCCTCCTGACGAATATCTTCTTATATATTTATTAGCCATTTCTATTCTTTTCAATCCCTTGTCATAATCATGTCTTTGCCCTTTACAAAAATTATGGTTTGTCTTTTTCTTATTGTTTTATAAAACCTCTTTTTGATTAGGGATATTCATTTTCTATTCCATATGTTGCAACTGATTTTCTCTGTTTTTTGGTTTCTAATCTTGTTTAAAGTTAAAAAGTTAAAACCTTAAGGTTTATTCATTTGTTTTTGCCATGTTAGGTGACCAAATACAGCCAACTTTATGAATTCTGGGTTTGGCACCTTAGTACGTACCCATGATTATAAAAATACTGCTAGCCAATTGTCCCAACATTAATTATTAAATCTTTCCCCCAGTACTTACAACATTCAGAAACAGAGTTTATATTTCTTAACACAAGACTCTTCTCAGAAACATTAGAAAAGGTACCTAGCCTACAAATTGGGGAACACCCGTGTAGATCAAGGTGACCTTTGATACAAAAGTTGTTTTCTGATTTAAGATAATATATAAGGGAAAGTGACAAAGCAGGCTAGGGATTTCTCCATAGAAAGTTATCTTTAGTTTTACTATCGCACAACTTTTTATTAGATACTTATTATTTGTCAGGTTCCATTCCAAACACTTCATTAGTATTCTCACTCAGGCCTCTCACAGTTCTCAAGTTAGAAAGTAACTGGCAGCTTCCTGAATCTGGAAATTTCCTATTAGTTCTGTAACAATAGGAATAACATTCATGGTCATGATAAAAAATTGCTCTCTATTTTCATTGCTAAGTATATAAAAACATTTTTGGTGTGTTTTCTTTCACTTAATATAAACTAGCTGCACCTGATATAACCTCTGTTCTGGCAGATATTAATGGTTATCAACAAAGCGCTTATTTTCATACCTCTTAAAATAATTGATTTTTAAGTGCACATGGCATCAGACTCTATACTATTTACCTTCCCTTATGGTGCAGTCCTACCAGTCACTTTATTTGTAATATTTAGAACCTAGCCCACTGTCTCCATATCTTCTGTTGCTCTCCACCCCACCCCCCAAATTCTGACATCAATTTTAGCTGATTTCAATATTCAGGCAAGTGATCCGTAAAATCTCCAGGCCTCTCACTCAGTTCCTTGCCTTGCTTATATCCAATTGTGTTTCCTCAAACTCATCTCAGCCATTCACTGCAGGATCATACCTCAGAACTGCCATTACCAATAGGTTCACCTACTCAAACTCAGAATTTCAGGCTTACCGTTCTCTAACCCCCACGTCCTCTCTTTCAGCCCATGCCCACAGGTAGTCTGTCTCCAACAATACTTTGATGCCACCAGGACCTCCACACTATGGACCCTGCCACCACCTTTTCACTGTTCATCAAGCTCACACCTAGTTTAGATTCCATGGGCCCTTCATTGTAGTCACCCCTTGCATATGTGTTCAACTCCCTTTTCTCTCTCTTTCCATGTATTTGCCTGAAAAAAATCCTATCCTTGATGAAGTTCAATTTTTTGCCTTCTTTACACCTTTACCCATGAGGCTAAACCAATCTCTTTTAAAATTCACGACCATTTTCTTCAACTGGGGTCCCCAGTAATGTCTACGAAAGGACTCTTTCACATCTCCTTTCTCCTCATACCTCAAACACTCTCTCTTCTCTCCTAACTCTCAGCTAATGTCTTTTCCCATCATTTCATCAAGAAAATGGACACAATAAAAAGATGCACACACTCCCAACACGAAGTCTACCAATGTCCCTGCATCTCTACCCGTGTAACCTGGCTAATAATGATTCCTGCTTCTAATTAAAGATAACCTTTCTCGAACACAGTAGGTTCCAATCTCTCAGGCTTACTCAAGGATTTCATTCCTGCCCGTGTCCATTCTCTCTCCTGCATAATTGATGTTACCCTCCATATTAAATAATTCTTATCTTCATTATCTGCCATTTAACATTCCCTATTTCTTTCTCTTTCTAAGTTAAATATAAAATATTATATATATATATATATATATATATATATTAAAACCTTGGATTGCGAATAACTTGGTTTGCGAGTGTTCTGCAAGATGAGCAAACATTTCTATTAGGTTGGTGCAAAAGTAATAGTGGTTTGTGCTATTACTCGTAATGGCAAAAACTGCAGTTACTTTTGCACCAACCTAATAATACATTTTAATTTGGTAAATGAGCGATGTCTTGCAATACAAGTAGTTTGTTTCTGAAACGAATTATGCTCACAAACCGAGGTATTACAGTACATATATATATATATATATATATATATATATATATATATANGAAACAGAATCATAGATACAGAGAACGTTTTGATGGTTTTCAGATGGGAGGGGGTTTGAGAGGGTGGGTGAAAAACAGGAAGGGATTAAGAAGCACAAATTGGTTGTTACACAGTAGTCATGGGGATATAGGGTATAGCATAAGGAATACAGTTAATAATATTGTAATAACTGTGTATGGTGTCAGATGAGTACTAGATTTATCAGGTGACAGATGGGTGGGGGGGTTGGGGGCAGGGTAAAAATGGTGAAGGCATTAAGAAGTACAAATTGGTAGTTACAAAATAGTCATGGGGATGTAAAGTAAAGCATAAGGAATGTAGTCAATGATATGGTAATAACTATAGTGCCAGGTGGGTACTAGACTAGCCAGGGGGATCACTTCTTAAGTTATATAAATGTCTAATCTCTATGCAATACACACCTGAAATTAATATAAGATAATATTGAATGTCAACCATAACTGAAAAATTAAACAAGGGGGGAAATAGGTGAAGGGGAATAAGAGGTTCAAATTTCAAGTATAAAACAAGTCATGGGGATGTAATGTACAGCATGCCAAGTATAGTCAATAATATTGTGATAGCATGGTATAGTGTCAGATGGTTGCTGGACTTAAGGGAACACTTCTCTAGTTATATAAATGTTGAACAACTATGATGTACCCCTGAAACTGACATAATGTTGTTTGTTAGCTATATTTTTTAATAAAAATCTTTTTTAAAAATTTAAGAAAAAGAAACTTCAGCAGAATGCTTCACTTGTCCATGTTTTCACATGACAGAAAAGATGACTCCACAAGCCGGGTGTTCTGCATCTGAGACCCTAACTCAGGAGGAGGAGCATCAGATGGGGAGAATGATGGCAAAGCGTTCAAAAATCATCAAGGAGTTGATACAGACGGAAAAGGACTATCTCAATGACCTAGAGCTGTGCATTAAGGAAGTGGTTCAGCCCTTGAGAAGTAAACAGGTAAGTGCAACTTTGAGCCCTTCCCCCACCCCCAATATCCTAAATAGGATCACCAGTTCCATACATCAAAGCACCTAAGCGTATCAGTGGTAGCATCTGTGGAAGTGAAGGTGGGGTGATAGGCCTTTTTCCCTGGGTCCCTGGGTTTCGGTTGGCAGAAGGCATCATCAGACTCATATTTCTTGGGTCAGCAGAGGAACACCCAGAGCCCCTCCATTTGGCCAAGAAAACTGTTCTAAAATATGGGGGGAAAAGANTGAGAAAAAAATAAAGAAAAAAATCTCACAAGTAATGGTGCTGCCAATTACAAAGTGACTCTGTTAATATACAATTTCTAACTAACCTCTTTATTAAGTGCTGACACTGAATCAGTGTTTTTCAGTTTCCAACATCCCCTGGGAGGACCTTTGTGTTTTGTCCTACTGGAAGACATGAAGTTTGTTGTCAGATTGGAATCAAATATATTTGAGTATGAAAGTAATACATCAATATTCTAGCATGTGAAACTTCTATTTACAAGTAGGAATCTCTTATCTTTACTTGTTTGAAAAACTAAAGCTCAAAAATTGAAAGTTTTTTTTTTTTTATCCTCAAATTACAGTTTTATGATGGAAACTCTCCTCCATGTTGTTCCATTTATAGGGACCTCATAAGCTCCATTTCAGGGCAACTTCAGTTTTCTCTAATTTTTAAAATCTATAGTCCAGATGAAAACCTTCTGGGCCAAGTGAGGAGATAAAAAATGAATGCACTTTCCAGTTTCATGCAGGGATTAGAATGTTCAGAATTGAAAAAGAGAGATGTGATACACAGATCTGTTTTAGCATCAAGGAAAGTCATCCCTTCAGCCTGGGTAACATGATCATGTGCTTATCACCTCACTTCTCAGTACTGAGATGCATAAACTACTATTTTGCTTTTATTTGTGAAAACAAGCAAGAAAATGTCTGGCTGTGATTATGATAATGATGACATAAACCTCTCTAATGAAATCCCATAGATGCTGGGACAGCTTTACTTAAGCATAGAGTAGCATAGCTGTGTGTATCAGTACAGGACCAGAAATCTCAGACTTCAAAGAAAAAATAATGGGTTAGAAAGGAAAACAAATATTTATTAATAAGCTCTTATTTAAGGCACTTTAGATACAAAGTCAAAGATCACATTGATTGATTGATTGATTGATTGATTGATTGTAGGCCATTTGAAACATATAAAGACATGTGAAACTCATTCCTTGTCATCAAAAGACTAAGAATCCCTAGTTAGAGTTGACAAGACTCATAGTTATGAAAAGATAACTTGTAATGCAAAGCAATAATTATTAAGTACAGACGACAAGTATAACTGGAGTTCACAGAAGGGACAGATCACTTCCAGACAGATTAACTAGGCAATATTTCATGAAGATTGTGATATTTCAGTTGAATATGCAAATTAAAAGCTTCAATGTTCGTCAAGCATCTATTGCATGCAGTATCCTCTGCTGAGTTCTGCGTAGGAATCAAGGAAATTTATGTCATAGTCTTGCCCTAGAAGAGTTTATAATCTGGTCAAGAAAATGACTCATAAACATATAAAAAGCCAAATAACAATCAAAGATATATTCAAGGCAATGTTAGAAATGATAATGACAGACGGCAGCTCATGATTAGTTATGCTAATTAGTTATGCAGCAAATAATTGCTTTAGACATTAGTGGAAGAAGGCACTCACTTTCCTGACCTGTTAACAGCATTTTGACAGAAAAACTTCCCTTATCTGTCTTCCAGGGCTCCATATACATCTGGTTTCCTTCCCCCCTGTAACTTTTAACTGCTCCTTCTCAGTCTCCTTCACCAGTTGATCTTTATCTCTAAACACTGAAGTAAATCAGGGCTCAGTCTCTGGTTTTCTTCTCTCTTTTGTCTTCTTTCCCTCTGTTGAAGACCTGATCTGGTTTCATGCCTTTAAACCCTATCCACATGCTAATGTTTGACAAATTTTTATCTCCAGCTGAGACAATGTCCCTGAAGTCTTGCTATGCTTATATCCAATTCCCCATTCAAATCTCTATTTGAATGTCTACAGGCATTTCAACTTTAACTGTCCGAAACTGACCTTCTAATTTCCCCTTTAAAAATTGTGCCCCTGCCTTCTTCAATACAACACCAAATGGCGGATGACACCGGTGCTGCTGGAGGGCCCGGAGGCCCCGGGGGCCCTGGAGTGGGAGGCCGCGGAGGCTTCCGTGGAGGATTCGGCAGCGGAGTCTGGGGCCGAGGTCGTGGTCGGGGTTGCTGCTGCGGAGCTCGTGGAGGCAAAGCCGAGGACAAAGAGTGGATCCCCGTCATCAAGCTGGGCCGCCTGGTCAAGGACATGAAGATCAAATCCCTAGAGGAGACCTATCTCTTCTCCCTGCCCATCAAGGAAACTGAGATCATTGATATTTTCCTGGGGGCATCCCTGAAGGATGAAGTTTTGAAAATAATGCCGGTGAAAAAGCAGACCCGTGCTGGCCAGAGGACCCGGTTCCAGGCATTTGTCACCATTGGGGACTGCAATGGACACATGGGTCTGGGTGTTACGTGCTCCAAGGAGGTAGCCACTGCCATCCATGGGGTCATCATCCTGGCCAAGCTCTCCATCGTCCTTGTGCAGCGAGGCTACTGGGGGAACAAGATCGGCAAGCCCCACACTGTCCACTGCAAGGTGACCGGCTGCTGTGGCTCTGTGCTGTGCGCCTCATCCCTGCCCCCAGGGGCACTGGCATTGTCTCAGCTCCTATATCCAAGAAGCTGCTGCTGATGGCTGGTATCGATGACTGCTACACCTCTGCCAGGGGCTGCACGGCCACCCTGGGCAACTTTGCCAAGGCCACCTTTGATGCCATCTCTAAGACCTACAGCTATCTCACCCCTGACCTCTGGAAAAAGACCGTGTTCACCAAGTTTCCCTATCAGGAATTCACCGACCATCTTGTAAAGACCCATACCAGAGTTTCTGTGCAGAGGACCCAGGCTCCAGCTGTGGCCACCACATAATTTTATACAAGAAAAATAAAGTGAAGCAAGCCTGTTTAAAAAAAAAAATTGCACCCCTTGCAGTCGTTCTCATTTCAGTAAATGGCAGCTCCATTCTTCTAGTTGCTTGGGCAAAAAACTCTGGAGTTATCCTTGACTTTTCTCTTTCTCTTAAACCCCATATCCAATCTATCAGCAAATTCTACTACTCTGCCTTCACAATTGATCCAGAAGTGGACCGCTGCTCACCTCCTCTGTTACTTCCACTCTGATTTAAGAACCCATAAATAACCACTCAGATTTACACTTGTCTCGTGACCTATTTCTCTTCTTCTACCTTTGTCTCAACCAAGCAGCTAGAGTAACTTTTAAAAAGCCAAGTCAGGGCTGGCCGAGTGGCGCGATGGTTAAGAACTGGCTTGGGATGCCAGAGGGCCCCGGTTCCGATCCCACATATGAGGGCCAGTGACACTGCCCTCCACAGCTAAGATGCTGAACAACAGCTCAGCCTGGAGCTGGGCTGTTGTGAGTCGCCGGCGACGGCGTAGGCTGCAGCCCCTGTGGCAGTGGGTTGCCATGGNTATCTTTGCTCCATTGTATAGCTTTGCTCCTTTGTCAAAGATCAGTTGACTATGTGGGTCTATATCTGGGCTCTCTATTCTGCTCCACTGATGTATTTGTCTGTTCTTTCACCAATACCATACTGTCTTGATTACTGTAGGCTTATAGCAAGTCTTAAAGTCAAGTACTGTCAGTTTTCCAACTTTGTCCTTCTCTTTCAGTAGTGTACTGGCCATTCTGGATCTTTCACCTCTCCGTATAAACTTTAGAATCAGTTTTTCAAAACTCACAAAATAATTTGCTGGGATTCTTATCAGGATTGCAATGAACCTATAGATCAATTTTGGAAGAACTGATTTTTTTAAAACATTGTGTCTTCCTATCTATGAACATGGAATGTCTCTCCATTTCTGTAGCTCTTGTTTTTCTTTAATCAGAGTTTTGCAGTTTTCCTCGATAGGTTTTGTACATACTTTATTAGATTTATACCTAAATATTTTTTTTAGATGTTAATACAAATGGGATTGTGTTTTTCATTTCAAATTCCACTTACTTATTTCTGGTACATGGAAAAATGATTGAATTTTGTATATAAACCTTGTATCCTGCAACCTTGCCATAATCACTTATTAGTGCTAGGAGTGGGTTTTTTTGTAGATTTTTTTCAGATTTTCTACATAAACAATCATGTTGTTTGCAAACAAAGACAGTTTCATGTCTTCCTTCCCAATCTGTATACCCTTTATTTCTTCATCTTATCTTATTGCACTGTCTAAAACTTCCAGTACAATGTTGAAAACAGTGGTGAGAAAAGACATTCTAACTTTGTACCTGATCTTATGAGAAAGCTTCAATTTTCTCCCCATGAAATATGATGTTAGCTATAAGTTTTCCATACATACTCTTTATCGAGTTGAGAAAGTTCCTCTCTATTCCTAATTTATTGAGAGTTTTTATCGTGAATAGGTGTTGAATTTTGTCAAATACTTTCTCTGCATCAATTAATATGATCATGTGACTCTTCCTTTTTATTTTGTTGCTGTAATGGATTACATTGATTGATTTTGAATGCTGAACCAGCCTTGTGTATCTGGGATAAACCACACACTTGGTCGTGGTGTATAGTGACTTTTATACATTGTTGGATTCAATTTGCTAATATTTGTTGAGGCGTTTTGCATCTCTGTTCATGAGAGAGATTGGTCCATAGTTTTCTTTTAATGTCTTTGTCTGGTTTTGGTATTAGAGTATTCTGGTGTCTCAGAATCACTCAGCTATTTTTCATGTCTCTGTTAACTTCCAAAATTTTCAGATTGTATTCTGAGCCTCAAACATATTCCACCTTGGCTCACTGATCATAACTTTCTTAACCAATTTCTAAAGTTTTGTCCCCTTCATGGAATTGCCCTGACCTAAGTAGAATTAAGGTATTGATTT